TGAAGTAAAAACAATGCCCAGACTTTGGAAAAGTAGTGACAAGTTCTACAAGCCTTCAGGCTTAAAATATGAAATGAACTAGAATAAAGTTTATTTATTTCTCGGTGAGAACTATTTTCAACAAGAGCTGGCAAAGCAACATGTTTAGAAATCGAATGGCTCTGCAATGTTTTCTCTAACAGTAAACAAAACACAGCAACAGACATTGCATATTCCCAGATTTTGGAGAAAAAAAAATCTTCTTTACTAAGAGTTTGGTGGAAGTACTTTGCCTAAGAATTTCTTAGGCATAGTTCAGGCTCAGTCTGAGTGTGGACTGTTCTGAACAGACAGTTGTGTGCATACCACTTGTTTTAAGTGGAGAAGAACTTAACAGATTACATATGTCCGTTCTGTGCCACCTAGTTTCAGTGGCAGCAAACATCCCCTTAAGCAGTAAATTCATTAATTCAGATAGAGTCTGTTCAATCACCACGTAACGATCTGAAAGAAAATGCTTGATTCAGAGCATCAGTAAATTCTTTTATTAGCGTGGTCTGTAAGAATATCCTGCAGAGCACCTGTTTTTAATGTCTTACAACTCTCCATTCTAAAAGTAAGTAATCATTACAGAGATAAAAATGGCATTAAGATGTCTATTCGAAAAATATCTTACTATTCACTGGGTTGAGTTTTTTTCCCAGCTTTGATGGACTACAGCCAGTAAGCAGGGAGCCATCAGGAGATGAATGAGTGTGGTGCTGGATGGCAGTGCACTCTGGACACCTCCAACATCTACATTCCTGCCACAAGCAAGCTCCAGCTCCTAGCTTGGGAAACTGTTTTTGGGGATATATCCTGCAGCAGTACATGTGTTACATGGAACAACTGGAGAACTCTTCTTGTGGGATATGCTTTTAACTTCTGCAGGCTGTGAAATATTGTACACTAGGTGAACTCACATGAGGTTCAGTCACACTCAAAGAAACTCTGAACTACCTCTGAGCAAGGGGGGTCCCTATCAATACCCAAGCTTGTTGTGATGAAATTTTAGATATAACAGTCAAGTTAGCAAAAAGCAAATCTAAGCATATGAATGTTTTAAGACATCATTTAGTAGGTAACTTAATGAACAACATAAAATGACACTATCATTTTAAGACCTCTTTCCCCATTGCAAAGATTTTTTTTTAAGACCAAAAGTTCTGTGTCTTCCTAAAACACTCACTCTTGAGAAAACAGATCTCTAACAAGCATATCTTAACTGCCTACAGACTTTTTAAATGAAAATACTTCATATAAAATAATACTGCTACTGCTAAACCCTGTTTAAATTAGATTTTCCGCTTACTCTTTGTATGTTCCTGTTTCAGAATCTTCAGTCATAACATCGTTCAGTCCTTCAACTGAAACGTTGATGATACCACAAAATTTATCTTGGATAACACTGTAAAAGAACAACATTTATTTTGGATAACATTGGAAAAGAACAGGAAAGTGACTTAGCTAAAGGAACTGCACAGGAAATTTGTTCAATTGTAGAGTACATTTACTGAGAGGTATTTTCCTTGCTTACTGCTTAGCTGAGCATGCTATCAAGCAACTAATTCAGTATTTTTTTTAATTACAAAAAGGCTTCAAAATATACAAGAAACATTATTTTTAAATATAACAGAACTTAGTGTGCCACTGAAAACCTAAAAGTAGTTGCAGATGAACAGAAGAAAAAACATATTAGCAATGTCCTTGACATTAGGAGTCAAGAACTGAGTGAAGGGCATGCTCCTGCCAGCAGGGAAGAGAGTAGTGGCTTCTATTCCCAACACATTTACACCTTTTCTACCATCACTATTCAATGCATCAACCTACACAACCCCTTGAGCAGTGGCTGCTTGTAAAGAAGGTACACTCCCCTACTTACCTGTATTTCTTCACCCTCCTAGGTAGCCAGCTCCCCAGAGCGTATGGAAAAACTCTGCAACCAGTTCTGCAAGAATGTGACTTTCCTGACTGTCAGGAGAGAGTGCAACAGGATTTATCTGTCTAAACACAGAGACCTTCTGCCGTTTGACACATCAGGCTATTTAAGACTAATGCAAAGGGCTGGTAGATACCACTTGGGAGTTAAAAGGCACTAGTATCTTTACTCAGCATGACCTGAGGGCTTGACTAAATAGGCCCACAATGCCCAAAATTACACTGAACATATTTACATTTGCCCCTGCCTTGAGAAAGGATGTGCCTGTAGGGTAAGGGCATAGGAACATGATCTCCCCATGATGGATAAAATAGGGGACACCAGTTCCTAGTTAACAGAGAGCAAGCAGCCAGCTGCTGCTTCTGCTCCATTTCCTGCTACCGTGGATCTAATGCCAGACACATGCTATTGTAGAACATGGGTTCTTGGACTCCTACTCCATGAACTGCAAAAGCATGAAGACAACCTGCAAGTAAAAAGATGTTCATCTCAGAAATACCTCTAGCTACATGCAGCAAAGAAAGAGAAAGGATCTAACTGGTGATCATAAAGTACAACCCTTTTCCTGGGACTGCCACTGACTGAAACACCTTATTGCTCCCTGTTTGGAATTTCAGGCTTAATTCTGCCAAAAAGATGCTGCTGATGCTGCTCCCTAAGAGGCAGATGCAGAAGCAGACACATTCCATTTATTTACAGGCACTGAACATGAACTTCATATATTGTACTTCGATTGTAGTTGATCATTGTTTTAACACAGACAAATCTATTTCCTAATATTCTTTAATTTCCTTTTCTTATTTGGGGTGAAAACTGAAGACATGGATGAACTGTAGCCCCTTACACAACAGCAACTGCTTTTGAAAAACTTCTTATCAAGCACACAACAAAATTTTACATATACGACGAACAGTTAAATAGCAATAGATACCTTGGAAAAAATGCTTATCAAAGTAGAGTACTAAGCACAGAAAATATTTCTTTTATGTTTGTTTTGGTAAGACTTTCTTTCATAGGGATTAGCTTTTGTTCCCTTTTTAAAATTCAGCTACATTGAAGAATCTGAAGCGTATTTTGTATCACCAGTCTTGAAACTCTTGAATTCCACAAAATCAAAACTGACACGATTTTAACTGCCTGATTGCCGGCTATGCATTTCAAAAGACACATATTCCTTTGCCAAAAGCCTTCCGCATCACATTCAGAACAGCAAAACATTACATGTTGTGAGACTGAATCTCTGTGAGGTTCTGCAGACAGCAAGCAAACAACCTACTGACCTCACAGCACAGCTGAGAAAGTCAACAGTGCCTCAGTTGCCTGCACAATGAGCCCTCCGAGACAGAGCAGGTCTCTTCACCAAGTCAAAGGTCCTGCCTAGCACACCTCCGTTAAGGCTCTTTTGCCTCATCTGGTTTTTGAAACACATCTCTAGGGAAATACCATTAACACAGTTAATATTTTCCAACAAGCTGCCCTCAGATTCATGTCAAAAGGAAACAAGGAGCATTATACAGATAACAAATGTGAACACTTTGAGCCCTGGAGAAAGTAAACTATGCCCTGTTTATACACACTATTTAATTAATACTACAGGATGCCATCCAATACCTGTATTATTTCTTCCTTCCAAGTTGCATGAATCCCAGAATGGTTTGGGTTGAAAGTGACCTCAAAGGTCACCTGGTTCTGATCCTGCTGCACATCACCTTCCAATGGACCAGGCTGCTCAAAGCCCCATCCAACCTGGCCTTAAACACTTCCAGAGATGGAGCATCCACAGCTTCTCTGGGCAACCCAGTGCCTCATCACCCTCACAGTAAGGAATTTCTCCCTAAAATCTAATCAAAGCCTACTCTCAGTTTTAAGCCATCCCCCCCATCACTACCATTTCTGATGAACAGTCCCTCTCTGGCATCCCTGCAGACCCCTTCGGAGACTGGAAGATTGAAATCAGGTCTCCACACAACATTGTCTTCTCTAGGCTGAACAGCCACAACTTTCTCAGCCTGCCTTCATAGGGGAAGTGCTCCACTCCTCTTAAGAACCTTGTGGCCTCTAGACTTGCTCCTGGAGTATCAGGTCCTGCTTATATTGAGGGCCCCAGAGCAGGGCAGCACACTCCAGTTAGAGTCTCATCAGCACAGAGCAGCAAAAATATTGCTTTTGACAGTTACCACAAAAGCTCATAGGGAAATCATTGATTTCTTGGAAAGAATATTCCTACTTTATGACATAAATGAGAAATACTATTTCACTTCTTTAGTGGAAGATTCATAAAGGCGCTTTGGGTTTTTTTTTTAAGGAAAAAAAAAAGAATGCAGAACACCTTTCAAAATGTAATTTGCCTGCAGCTTTCAGTAAATATAATACCGTTTCTTTTCTCTACTTTTTTCTCCCCTTTAAATGGGACATACAGTTTCTTTCTACCAAAGACCCACTGAAATGTTTACCAAGTATGGAGCCATTAAACAGTGCAACTGTTTCTAGAACACAAGACAAATGCTGGTGAAAAATAAAGATACCGCAGACTCATGCTTTGAAAAAAGAAACCTCAAAAGTTCAGTGGCAATATAAAATGCATCAGGACTTATTTTCATAGATGAGAAAGCAGGCCATGCCACTCAAAGTAATACCTTTTCAAAGAGACTAAAATTAGCCTGCTTATTTCAAGAAATAATTAGAGAAGTTATATGAGCACATTCAAAGAAGACAAATGCTGCATTCAGATGAATTTTCAGAACAGAACAATTAATATGTTTCATACTAAAATCTTAAACCTGGAGGAAGGCACCATTTAAGCAGTTCCCTCATTGAATTGCATACAATCCAGATTAGCAATGAAACAAACAAAAGCATCAGGCTCAAACTGGTTTTATATCTACCAAGTCTTCCTAAATTATTGGGACAAAAACTGTTTTGGTATGCAGCAAAAGACCCACAACTGGGACCTAAAACACTTCATAATCCAGTTTCAAAGATATAATGACTACATATTTTTTTATTACAGAAACGATATTTTATGCTGCCTGTTAATAAAGTTCACCTTACCAATACAAAACAAAATTTAGCATTCAGGGCAGTTTCCATAAGAATAATCTCAAAACTTCTATTTCAAAGTTTGCATGAGTTTTTAGATAAAAGAATAAAAGCTTTGCAAAGAACAGAACAGACCCCATCTGTTCTGAAAATAAAAGACAGTTTGCTTTTTTTTCATTCTGTCTATAATTTCTAATGCACACAGCTATCTATACAACTTATTATCCTGAGGTTTTATGTGAAAAGTCATAATTTTTACTTCACTTATATAGCCAACTAGTGTAGACAAAGCTCTATCATCATGTTAAATCATGTCCTGACATATTTTTATTGGTGCTTAAATAAAATGGACCCCGTATCTACTTTGCATATCCCTCAGAGAAGGAGAAAAATATGTATAAGAAAAAAATCTTTTTCAGAGATAAAAAAAGATAAAACATTTTCTGCTTTTCTACATTCATCAGAATGATGCAAACACCAAGAAGAGTTTGATTTCATATCTTTACTAGTTTAGATATTGAGAAAGCTTAATTAATTCTTTTTTCTTATCTCATTCGCCAAGGAAAGAGGTGGAGTGGGACAAGCAGAGATTACTCTGCACATACTGTAAGTGACGTAAATGATTATTACATACCCCCCACCCCTTCGGACCTGCACAGTTCTTGGGAGCTCCTAGAGCAGTGAAGTAGCAGCTAAGACAGCATTTCCAGGGAGTCCTATGACTGACTATAAACCTGATCTTCATGAAGCACCACCACTTTGCTTCATGAGGGCAGATTTCACTAAGGCTTCTAATTATTCCCTAATGACTTTAACTGACATATGAACTTCCACGTACATGTGTACATGGAAGGGTTGGTTTCCCCATGTGAACATTTAAATACGAAAGATACTGACTGCTAAAGAAAGGCATTTCTCTCACAACTGCATAATAAATCTCTCAGTGCCTTGTTAGTCTAATCCCTGTGTTGGCAAGCTGGTTATTCAAGGATGTCTCCACTCCAAAGGATGGCTTTCAATGGCTCCAACTCTCTGCTGCACAAACAGCTGTGACACCAGTTTCCTTTCATGTTCCACCACTGCAGATGGTGAGACACAGACCTGGCAAACAACTCCCACAGCAGCTTGTCAGTGAAAAAGACGAACCTACAGAGAGAACCTCTCATGCCTTTCTGTAAAGAGCAGCTGTGGAAACCAGAGCCTAAAATAACAGAGCTGCTCCCTGCCAGATTTCTTTGAGAATTGAGAATTAGATTTATTCGGTTTTTAACCTTTGTGTACTACCAAAACTCCTCTGAAAAATATTTATCACAACAAATTATGTAGGAGAGACAGAAGGTAACAAAAATGGGTTAAAGAGGAAAAGAATGCAGTCGATTAGCCTCTGGAAAAAAGTGCATAAATTACAGCCAGTGTTTTCCCTTCTTAAAAGAATTTGCCCATTATATTTAACATCTGATCTTAAGTTAGAAAATTATTTTAAAAAACAGTTTCTACTCAAGCAATACTGAACAGTTTAAGTTTTTGTCCAAGAAGCTGAACTGTGTGTTTCCTAGAAGTATTTGATCAATGATACAATAAATTATAGTCAAATACAGTATTATTTCATTACACTAGTAACAAACAACAATGAAGTCATACTTGCACTTTCACACCCATTCAGTGCAGTCAAGATTTATAATATGTACTGGTAGCAGATAATAGATTTTTTCCCTGCTGGAAAAGAACTGCAGATGGACAAACAGGATGATGGGGACCTGCACAGCCCAGATACACGCAGCACTTACACCAGCAGGAAAGAGAGGGGGGAGAACAAGAATGCTGAGAGCAGCTCTGGCTCAGCTGCAGAATGCAACAGACTCTGGGCCGAAGCCTGGAACAGCAGCATACTTCTACATAATTTAAATCAACACCATGGAGGAAAGTATATCAAAACACTGTTCCCCACTTTTCCTTGAGGAAAATGGTCTAGCTGTGTAACTTATAAACATGGCTGAAATCTCTAGGGCACATGCCTGTACAAGAAAAACAGCATCTAAGTCCCGTTGGTTGAAAATTTTACAACATTGGACTATTTGGCACATAGTTTTATGACATTTAATTCCAGAATAAAGTTTGAATTATTAAAGTAACAGGAAAACAAAAATCCCAGAAATTCAGGCTAAAAATAAAGCTACAGCATATCAGACATAACCTGACAACAACAGAACACCAACATCTGAAACAGAAATAAAAAGTTATATGCAAACTATAAAAGAAAATATCCCTAGTTTGAAGATGAAGCTTTAACTAAGAATACATATCTTGACTGGACACCCCCAAATATAAACCACATATGTAAATGTTTTCAGCCATTAGTTTAGCAGTATGTATTTACAGTGTAGTGTATTTCTTCAATTTGTACCTCTTATCTAGCTAAAAAGTCCCTAAAAATATTACTACATAGATAACACAGATGATGATCTTTTATTGACAATAATTAACCAGCCCTATTACCTTAGACATAATAAATTTCATCATTACACTTTGGTAAATTTCAACAGCAATTCTGCTTTTCTTAACTCCAATTTGGGGTATTTCATAAAACAATACAGATACACACTAATAAAAAAGTCACTTTAATATATTCATTATACAGACTGCACATGCAACTTTGTATATTACAATATGCTACAGGTATGAATAGAATTTGTATAGTTTGAAATTTTTCTCTTTACTTTTTTTACTTTTTACTCTTTTACTCAGGAGTTTGAACATGCTAACTGTAAATGTGCTTTTTCCTTGTGCTTCATTTAATAGAGGAAGAGTAGAAACTCTATTACAATAAACACATGAAACACTCTTTTCCGATTCCCCAGTATTTCTCGGCTTCGTGATCCTACTAAGAACTGATGTTTTGCTTGCTGCACAATAGCTATGGAATTTCTATAGTAACTTACATCATTAAGTACGGCAAAATAAATTAAAGTGTACTTTATACTGCATGTATACTTGAGCATAAGTGAATGATTACTACAAATAGGGACTGAGGTTAATAAGCTTATCCATGTTAGATTGAAATGACATATAATGAAATAATCAACAAATTTCAAAACATTCAGTAAGCAAATGCTGATGCAGAACCCAAATTGTGCCATTTTCCACAGTCCTATTAAGCAGTTGATTTTAATCAGTGGAGGTATTTTTTCACAATTGAGTTCTTGATTTCTTGACTTTTCATAACTCCATTAATACTAAATCAAATGAGAAAAATTACAATGATGAATGTTCAAACAAGATGACCTGTGCCTGACTTTCTGATACTGTTCGCTTGAGCAGCCTTATTTGGTCCAGTTCTGAATGTTCCACTGATTTCCGAGTTAGAGACTGAACTGAGTCAGTTATGTTGTATCTGCCAGGCTGATAAAAGCCATAATATTCTATACTCTTTTCCCCTGAGTTTTCCAACACCTTTAGTTTTTGCCTAAACTGAATAATTTTACAGGTTAAGAACAGGATAACAGCACAAGCCAGAATGAAAAAGGCTAGTAAAATATCAAAAGCTTGATTCAGCTTTTCAACCTGTTGTGTACAAATCAGGCTTGTTTTTAATGATACAGGAGCAGGATCTGTTGTAAACAACCATTCTTCTTCTACATTTCTATTAGCAGGTGTAATTTCTGCTGGTATTTGCACTGGTAATGTTGATACCACTGTAGCTGCCTGTGATGGCACTTCAACAACATATTCCTGATAAGGCAATGGGGTAGAAGACGTAGCTGTAGTTCCCTCCCAGAAAGCAATATACTTAGTTTCTGCAGTGACAAACTGTTCCAATGTGTTGTGCCTGTTCCCTTTATGCCAGGCCATCAGCAGAGTGGTAGCGCTGTGATGCACCCTGACAGATCCCAGACTTGGGGCAGAGCCTGGGCTGGCAGTGGGGCCAATGCAGTTTGAAAACCAAGCCCATTTCATATAATGCAAAGGTCTACCACGCATACTCTGAGGATGCTGACAGTGTATTTTTGCAGAAACAGAAGATGATGCTAGCCAATTAAGTAATGCAAGCATTTTGCAGCTGCAATTCCAAGGATTAGAATGTACCTGCAGATGAGTTAAAGATACTAAGGGCTTGAGCACTTCAGGTTGTAACTCTGTGATATTATTAAATGCTAAATTGAGTACTTTGAGTGACCTCCCCATTTTTTCAAAGGTACCATTGCCAACACTGGCTATTTTATTTCTGTCTAGCTGTAGATACATTAAATTGTTCAGCAAGATAAAAGTGCTGGAATTTATATTTTCTAAATCATTATAACTTAAGATTAGCTGGCTAAGGTTGTTTAATCCAAAAAATCCATTTACAGCAACACATTTTAGCTTGACATTTTTCAAAGACAGATATTTAAGCTTATTAAGTCCCTTAAATGCAAAAGGCTGAATTGATCCAATGGGATTGTGAGACAAAGAAAGTCTTTCAAGATTTTTGAGCCTTCCAATAGCATTTGATGGCACAAGTGGTAAGTTGTTACCTTCAAGAAATAAATATGCAAGATTTTCAAGATGATGAAATGCTGCATCTGATATCCGTGAAATCTTATTATTTGCTAGGTTTAGTGTTTGGAGACTTATCATTCCCCAGAAAGTCCCACTTCCAAGGACACTGAGACGATTTCTTTGAAGTGTTAAATATCTAACAGAAAGAAGATCACTAAATAATCCTCTGGGAAGAAAAGCTATTTGATTATTCTGAAGGTATAAACAATGAAGATTGGAAAGGCCTTCAAAGATTCCTGGATCCAGGCGTTTAATATGATTGCTATTTAGATGCAAGTAGCAGAGTCTGGGGAGTTCCACAAAAGCTTTTGGGTGCACATACGAAATACTGGAATTATCCATGTAGAGTGCAGCAAGCTTCAGAAAGCCTCTTAGATCATTCGGAGTGACATGTGATATATTATTCCCACTGAGGTAAACAAGAATTGCTGTTTTAGGAAGGTTCCAAGGGATGCTCGAAAGCCCTGCATTACGACAGCTAACTTGTCTCCCTGTGCAGAGCTGACAAGCAGGTGGACAGCCAAAAGCCTCCTTTGGGAGCAGCAACAAAAGAAAACAATTAAATATATACAGGAATGCTCCTGGGCAGGGTGAAGAGCTTTGCAGAACACACATATCCCTGTCTTTGGCCTTCTTACTCCTCTCTGACTTCACTAGCAGAGATAAAAAGAAGTACATAAATATTATTAATTCAAATATATTTCTTACATATTTTAATTATTAATAATTATTTGAATCTATGTGTACAGTCTTCAAAATATTAGCATTACTCTCAAAATTGTTATTTTATATATTATTCTTTCATGCCAAAGAAGCAGTTTAGATCGCCAACTTACTAACTGGACTTCACTGCAAAAGATTTTTTTAAGCAAATGGACAATCACATAAAAATACCACTAACATAGCCAGAAAATATTTAATTGGCTGTAGCATAAAAGTATCTAAGCTGCCAAAATAACAGTTTCTATTAATTTAAAAATACTATATATTCTTATATATAAAAATAGTTAACGATCACTAAGAAATGTTTCCAAAGCATTCAAGTAGAAATGCCATCTGTAAACAAGTTACATTTTATTGGCAGATCACTTACAATTTGAATTTTACTTTTATAAAGCTGAGTTACATTCAAAATAAATAGAAGCATTTCCTTACCCCAAATCTGAAGTTCATTATTTCCGTTATTTTGCTGTTTGCAGTCCACTAGACTATGTTATAAGCTGACCAACTACATTCCTCTGTTAAACTTTTGTAAAGGCAGTATTGCTGCGTACTACAGCACTCACATTTTTGCCCCAGGGTTTGCAACAGTTTGCTCAGGAAACTAAGAAAGAAGTGCCTGAAGTCAGGTTGCCATGGATACAGGAAACCCTGGGACAGGAAGCCATTTTATCTGTGCTTCAGAAGTATTGTTAGAAAGGAAATCTCAGTGATTTGTTTCTAGAAAACCAAGAACTGTCTTAGTGTGTAACTGCTGGGTTTTGTTGTTTGGGGTTTTTTCTTTTGTTTTTTTGGTTTTTTTTTTTGTTCTTTTTCTGTTTTGCCTTTTTTTTTTTAAATCCACTGATTTAACTAGGAGAGCTTAAAAGAGTTTTATCTAAGGTCTAACTTTCAGAATAAAGCACAACCACTTGTAACAGCACTATTGCATTACCTGTAACTCCCTTATCTTTCAGCCAGAACCTGAAATGCTTTATTAAAAATTGGTAGCAACACTTAACACTGTTCACTGTCTACAGAGTCAAACTGCTGCCACATGCACACAACTTCCAGTGGTCTGGCTGAGAGGGAAAAGAAACACACTCAGGAGGGAAGAGCTCAGTGTCTCCTGCCCTCTGACAGCAATCCCAGAGAAACCCATGAAATCTTAGGACATGAGACCCATGTGATGCAGCACTAAGCTGCTATGTACTTGTATTTCTGACCTGACCCAAGCACTTTAGGCCACCCTTTTAAAACCAAATTTATCCACAAAGGACTACGAGATGGTTTCCGGTTCTGAGGGCCACACCTTTCATGCACAGCTTTCATTTCCTGCAGTGTCCCCTGTGCAGAAAAGACTACTTGGGCTATAAATATCCCTCTTGCTTAAGGACCAGATTACACCTTCAGTTTATCCATCACAGGGATATATTTGCCAAGCTCAGTCACATCATCCAAGGGGGAAAGGGGAGATTAAGCCTACAAATAGCAGCGCAACTAAAACCCCATGATTTTACTGCAATGAGACCTTTTGCTCAGCAAAAGAAAGATGACAAAGCCCATCAGTAACCAGGGCCAAAAAAGAGGCGTAACAGCAGGAGAATCAAGTCCCTTCAGCTACAGTGATCTCACACAGGAAGCATGAGCTCACGTAAGGGGTGAAATGTAACCCAAATGTCTTTGTCTATATAATACAATCTGAAATACAGGACACACATGAGAAAGGGAAGCAGAATAGACAAGGGCATGCTTTTGAAGAAGCTTACTTCCAAATACCTAGTCTAAAATAAGAAATAAGTAAGTAAAATTGGTCCGTGGGCCATTTTAGACAAAGTCTGTATCACTTACAACCCAGAATTAGAACTGCATTTGTTTCTTTTTTTCTGAGACCAATAGATCAATAGGAAAACTAATTCTTCTTCAGATTTGAATATTTATTTTCACACTTATATTTTTTTCACAGTATTTAACATAATTGTTGACATCAAGTAAAATAAAATGTCGTGTCATTTACTTAAAGGGAAAACACTGTATAGTCCACAGGAAGATTGGTGAAGTATCCTGGACGTGGGGGACAGAACAGTAAGAGTAACAGAAAAAGACTATCAATATAGTCAGATGAGGGGAAAATCAGAGACTGCCCAAAAATGGAAAGTGATTTCAAACAGGAAATTATCTTCTACCTAGACTTCACTGCCTATAATCTCTTCATATTGAAACCTATATGTGTAAAAAAAACCCAAACAAAAAAAAAAATTATTCTTCCAAGGTATGGTGCATGAAACAACCCTTTACAGCTACAAGAAGTAACTCAAATTAAAAAAAAAAGTTTTAAAAGGCAAATGTTCATAGAGCACTCTTTCTGCAAAATGTCATAAGCAACACATTTTGAAAAACTAAAGGAATTAATGAAGCTCTATGGTATATCAGCACGAAAATTTAGAGGAACCAGTAGAGCAGTGACCAGATAAAAGAAAGCTGATGACCAGTAACTGGCTAAATGTCTCTATGGTCTTGCACTGAAAGTACCCTATGAATATTCACAAAATTTTTGCTTCAACCCTAGCTCCACTGTGGTTCTGACCACACTGAGGACTCTTCTGATAGTTGAATCCCATGCTGAAAACGCGGAAAAAAAACTTAATCCTAAACATGGCTCCTTCCATTCTGTACTAGGAAATCTAGAGAAGTCCTGCTTTACACTTTGTCAATACTGCACCCGAAGGCCTGCAGATCTGATTGCAAGGTAATTCAGAGTTATTATTTCATTAATACTATGTATCTGAAAGCAGTATCTGTTAAGAACAAGGTGCAAAATTATGTGTCACATAACTGATACAATTTTAGGGAAAAGCATAAAAAAACTGGGTGGGATACATGCGTAACTTGAATCAGCATTTCTCAAAGCGGCTCATACTTAAACAATAAAATCCATTACTTTTTGAAAACTGCATGAAAAAACCCAGGAAACACGAAAAAGCTTAGGCTGCTTTCCTATTTCATTCACTTTAAATTTTCATCTGCAGAGAGAGAACTACTAGGTTTAGCTGAATACAGCTTCACATGGTAATAGAGAAAATTATTTTTGAACCCACAAGTGAATTCTATCTTAATATACTAATACTGATAAAGTTACTAATGCTACTGGCTTTTTAACATTTACATCTACTTCAGCTACGACTCCTTGTAAATACCAGCATGAAGCCCGAGTAACAGCAATTTGTCAAATTGTGCATAAAATGACAGGTCAAAGTAATTGAAAGAACATACAAGAACTTCACCCTTGTTACATTAAAGACAATATAATGAATATTAGGTGGTAGAAACTAGTCATCCAAATCCTACTTGCAGAAAACATGCACAAAGTTCAAAAACAGGGTCTAAAAATCAATTTTTGAGAAGGGATTTCATTCTCATAATTACTACTAAATTCTGTTAAAGCTCACAACTGAGGACAAACAAGTTTTAGAACTGAAATTATTCTTTTTAGCTTTTAAGCGTGAAACTATTTATTGCCCTCCCATTATGTATTTAGCAACCATCTGCTCTTGCAGGGCTTCCTTCCTTCTACTTTTATTCTCCAAATGTAAGCTATTGTACAACTTTATTTTTTCAAATCCTTGCTTCCTTCTGCCCACATCATCTCTAGATATGACCCCAAAACAAAGCAATTCAGAAACTAAACTACTGCTTAGTTAGCACAGACATCAACATTTAGTTAACATCCAGTAGGCAGGTGAACTGCTGACACCTTATTAACTTACCAGATCCCAAAACACTTTTCTGTTTTTCTCATTATCTAGTTTACCTAAACATTTCTGATTGTCTCATATATGGCAGATTCCTTCTAGTATTTAGTATTTCTGTTTCAGTAAGAATCCTGACCTGCTGCTTCATTTACCAAAAATTTCTCTCTTCCACAGCGTGAAAACGACAAAATTATTTTTCCCACTGAGGATATGAAAATAAGTTTCCATTCCATAAACCTAATTTGACCTTAGCCTATAGTAAAATAATATGACAGAAAGCTCTTGTGAAACTAAAAGCTCACTTTGAGAGATTAGTTTCTTCTCTTTATTCTAAATCTAAGTCTTCTATGGAGCCACTAGGTCTGTGAACAAAACAGTGATACAAAAAAGGTTGGCCATGAATGTAACATGCAGATGCGATATACTGATAATAACACTGTAGCTTCAGCCTTTACTTTTCACTGCAATATTTAGCAATTCTGTTCAAACTATAAAAGCATCAATGTACTCAATATGAATGCAATTCAAACCAAAAGGTCCAAAGAACTCAAATTAATTTCCCAAATTTCAACTTAGAAATTTAATCTAAACTAAACTCAACTCCAAAACCACACTCTGCCTGCTAGTTTAGGAGACAGAACAGGCATACACTCGGCATTAACAATTGATAGCTCCAAATATCCAACAGAGAAAACCTCAACAGTTCATAACAACTACTACAGACAATACCCTCACACAAAATACAAATGCTATTTCTTAAAAATACTTTTAAATGCTTTCTTTATACTTGGGCATTTTTTTAATATCAAAACCTGATGTCTTGTTTCAAACACTCTCTTATTAAATTGTTTGAATATGAAACATTATTTTTCAAGACAGTACTTATTTGAAGAAGGTCATGTAGTGGCATGGGTTGTGGTGTTTATCACTTCTGGTGTCTTATCGTAATAGTCTGGCACTGTTAAAGAAAGCCACTGAAAAATCTCAGCTACTCTCTGGCAGTCTCAAATTTCACAGAGTATAGCACAGAGAGATAAGCAGATGTACCAAAACAGCTCAAACAAACACAGGTGCAAAAACAGCTGTAAATCTATGTTTTGGGTTTGGGATTTTCTTTTACTTTTGTTACAATCTTGTGATATTTACACATTTTTAGTAATATGCTATACTTCAGTCACTACTTATTCAGTATCTAATTTGCAAACATAAACCATACATTGCAAAGAGTTTGAAGGAAGCTAGTTAGTTAGTCTGTTATCTTTTGCTTTTATATAATTAAAATCTTAAATTTTAGGGTAAATCATAATTAGAATGGTTTTAGGATAGACTTCTGAAATATTTTATATAAGCCATAAACAAAAACAAGATAGCAGCAGCAACCAAACCCTTCTGACTGCAGTTTATTTTTTTGCAGCAGTTAAGCTGCAATTAGTGACATAATTTCTTGCTATCACTTGGTACATTTTTCCTTGAAATCAAGGCTTAAGGGTCTTAGGGGAAAAGATAATATGCTCCTGACCAGTCCACTAGCTATCAAGTGTAAGAGAAAAATTGATAAAGACCTGTGAAGAGGAAAGTTTAATGAGTGCATCCTTTTGCCAATGCCATAATGTGACATGCAATTAAAGAAGTTGGCAGTGCTCTGTGTAACCTTCTGAATTATGCAGACTCTGATAGACTAAGACCAAAGCCACTTTTTTCACTCTTATCATTAAAATTGCACCGTTACTTGTCAGGCAAGCTAAATAAATCCAAGGCCAAACACTGATGACAACTGCAAAATCATAATTTAAAGAGATCCTTTAAATGCTAATAGTCTATTAGAGGCATGGGTAAGCATTCCTTTAACTAGAGGGATTAAAAAATGGAGGGCAAGATAAAATAGCTTCAGAGTATCATCCCTATAAAGAAAGGAGGATGTACAAGTAATTATGCAAGAAATTCTGACTTTGTAAATGAGAACATAACTATCCTGAGGAGAACATGATATTTTATTGGGCACTTTCTTGCCATTTAACTAACACTACATGTAGACAACTTTTT